GGAGATTTTCTTGGTTTTGTTTTCTAAACAAATTATTTTGTACTAGCTTTTTTGTTGCAGTCAAAGCCCCCCTAGGCAGGCACCCTTTAAAAGCAGATAAAGGTGTCTGGAGCTGGCTGCTTAGGTAAAATAGTTTTTGTATGCAGAGGGTCAAACAGGGTTTTATCAAGGTGGCCATTAGTAACTTTGTCTGCTTAGGAGAGTGTCTCTTAAGGGAGCTTTAACTGTTCTTACATTCTTTGTCATGTGATAAGTGTTCAAAATAAGTTCATGACAGCCGCAAGGTAACAAAGGTATTCATAACGTTAGACAGTGAGGCAAGTATATCTGCTGTTTTCTTTCATGCTACCACACCAAGTACTATATTAGTTATAATGGTGCAAAAAATTTGTTCCACATATTATTGCCTTTTGGTCTTGTTATTTCTATATAAGTTCCAATATTTTTTATGAAGAATTCTTAGGAAAGCATCCCAGGCAATGATAATTTATTGAAGAGCCTTGTGAAGGATGAGGCATAATAATGTAGCAACAACTTTCCTTGACTTTTTTCTTTCCAGACGTAACTAATCGAAGACAAATAAGTTGAGAAAAAAATGATAGAAATTGTATGAGATGAGTAATCGAACGTATCAATTTATCGTCAATGAGTAATCGATGTCATTGATGATCGATTAGTCATCAATTACCCATTGATTATAGCGTGTAATCAATGAGTAATAACTTGATTACCCAATGATTACTCATCTATTACTCATTATGTCATTCATCACCTATTACTTACATCTGGTTCTTTGGATGGTATATTTTTTATATGAAGAAACTGAATCAATAGTTTATAGATCCTGTTATCTACACTGAGTAATAACACTTACACATTCTAACCTTCGTGTGAATGGCTTTTTCCTAGAGAAGTTTTCAAGTGTATGCAAATAGGCTTAGGATGTAAACTGTCATTTAAATATCAATGCCATTCATGCAGGGTGAATGTTATAGCTATAATGTAGCATTATTCTTTTGTGTCAGATACTTATAGTTTCAAAATGAATTACAAATCTATTATGGACCAATTTTCCAACAATAAGAAGACAGATATTAATCTCCATCCGCGATCACCCACATTATCTTATCTTCAGTGAGTACCTCTTACAGATCTTTGTAACCGTTTGTAGATCTACTCTAGTTTATATTTGTAAGTTATTTTTATGTCTACTATATTTGATATTAATCCTCAGAAATTTACATCCAGCAAGTTTATTTCATAGTGTAAATAAAAGGCTAACTTATTGTCAAAAGGACTTGGTTTTGACACAGTGGTTTTGTTTTAGACTGAAAGCAATCTGGCTTCCCTCTCCCCTTGGAGGAGTTTCCACCCTTAGATCTAAACCCTTTTGCTTTTGTATACTATTGTCAGTGGTGGATCCCCTTATTTTTAGTCCAAACTGAGGCCCAAAGGGCTGAAAAATTTTTTTTTTCAACCGGGTCGCCCCCTTATCTCAGGGTCTGGATCCGCCACTGATTTTTTGACAGAAAAGGCCTTCCTTTTGTGTACCTTCTATCAAAAAATGGTACCCCTTTCATATGTCTTCCAATGGACCCTGCATCCCTTTTCTAAACCCTTGGTCTTAATCAGAACGCACATACAAGAGTGGATCTTTGCAGATTAGAACAAGAGCTCTAAATGATACGCTTATTTGTTTGTCTCACGATAATCACATTGCTATTACCACATACAGCTGGTCATCATCAGTGACAATCTCGAGACAAACAAAAACGAGCCTATTGTAAACATACATTAATAAATATTGAGCTAAAAGTGCTACAATTCACTTAGGAACACTCCAAATCCTGTGCTTTAGCATGTGTTAATCTTTCAGTGAACTGTCAGTCTCCTACTTGCACCATTTCTGTGCCTGTAGCAGTAATGGATAAAATGAAACACAATTTTTGGGCCATAATTATTTATTACTACTTTCTTCTCACTCTGAAAACATTTTTGAGAGCTAATTACACACTAACTGCTGTGCTTACAACACTATAATCAGTCTCCATTTTTAATGATGATTTATTATTCTCTTAAGGAAAATTGTCTTAAGTTACACTAGGTGTTAGGCAGCAGCATTGAAGATTTAAAAATAATACAAAATGAACTATAAAATAGAAGGGAAGGATTGCTGCACCCTAGCCTGTTACGAGAGTTGCAATGTTATTCAACAATGCTGGCGATGGGATAAAAGAGCAAATTTTTGGTTATGATAATGTTATCTCATCATCACAGTAATCTAAACAAGCTAGATAAATATAACCAAAATACCCCTTAAGAATAATGAGAGGTACAAAACATAATTACGTTTTATCAAAAATTTTAACCCAGCATACCAATTAGCCTGGTAAGCAATATAATTTTAAAATAATGATTAAAAGTTTGACAAGAAGGTAAAGGCTCATTAATGTCAGACAGAAGCATCTAACCCAATATGCTTTCCAGATGCATCTCTACAAAGATTTACCTACTAGTAGCTTTAATTAATGTATATGAAAAGAATAGTTGTGAAAAAAGGACTTCATAGAAGTTACACATCATAAAAATCACCAACAACTAGTATAGGAACTTCTTAACTAGTCTTTACATCCTGCACTCTTTGTGCTTTATTCAAATGCCTTTAGCTTATTCAATAAATAATTAATTTTTAATCCTTTCATTTGTCAAACAGACTGATTTGGTCTTTCATTATGTTCAAACTGCAATGTCTTTAAATAAACTATTTAATCACACTTTACAAAATTAATATATTATAATAAACCTAGTGTATGGCCTCGCTCTCCATGAGTTCTCTGTGGCTCAGTGGATAGAGCACCTGCCCAGTGTTCGGGAGGTCATAGGTTCGAATCCTGTTGCGGACTCAGATTTTTTTTGTTCGTCTCACACTTTTGAAAAGCTGATTATTTCAACTTCAAAATAATATTGTTAGGCAGCAATATTATTAAAATTTACAATTTGGTATAAAGTGTGCACATGTTAGAGAGATTCGGAATCAGGTTTAAGGCAAAAGCAAACATCAATTTGCACCATTAACAACTGTGCTTTGTTCTTTTGTCAATTCATGCAACAGTGGTTATGTCCTAGTGAGTCAGGAATGAGTAAAAAAGGGGGAATTGGTTGATAAGAAGACTGTAGAAATGCAGGCATAATAAAGAAAAAAGAGAATTCATTGATGAAAGAGGACCACTTTGTTGTGGACACTCGGATCTGTCCCTTTGGAGTTCCTGTTGTGCTACAGTCTATAATCACGTTGGTATTATAACAGTGAAACACTTTGAGACAACTAAGAAAACTACTCAGTACAAACTCAGAACAGGTAACAATGAATTATAACTAATATAATCTACATTATAGGGCACTGTCCAAGTGCATCTCGGAATATATTGTAAGTCAAAAACACACACACACTGCCTTTTGTGCCTGTGAGAAGAGGACCTCCCCTGAAGGCAGCAAAAGTCAGTGATTCAGATTTGCCTCAAATACCCCATATAAATATTTTAAAAAAATGTAAGTTGAAAGACATCACAACAAAAACTTTTCTCTATAACTGTACAATCATATAAAAACGTTCCATTTTTCCTCTAGAATTTCACTGGGTAACGTCTTCTTGAACTTTTAAACTCAGAAAGACTTCAAAATGGTAACATATGGTTCAGCTGTTTTGTTATAGCTCAATTTACAAACTCTAAACCACACTAAAACTGCAAATTCTTATTTAACATAACATTATTTTATTTTTGGTTTCCACCTTAAAGCCCTAAACAGCCTAATAAAGTTCTTGCCATAAACAGCATTTAGGTCCTCTTTACTAAAATAATAACATATCACAGCCTCATAAACTACGCAGATGGTAAGACAGAGTGCTGAGCCAAAACCTCTATCTGGTCTTGAAAAGGTAGCTTGACTGTTTGTCTTATGGTAATACCGTAAATGACCTAATAAACACCAGGGGTGTCTTAATATTAATTTTAGGGGTCCACGCAAGGGCATTTAAAAGGTAGGAGGAGTTTATTTGAGAGAGGGGTTTACTCACGTAATTTTAACAAACTCATCAAAACAGCTGAACAAAACTTATACAGCATGCTTTCGACAAAATTCAGTCCATCAATTGATAATATTTCCACGCCATAGTTTGACACTCGTTTTCAATGCTTAAGCATTTTAAAAAGTAGATTACTCTATAGTAAATTATGTATTTTAAAATATGTAAATTTACATCAATTAAAATTGGTGTATATCAGAGGATCAAAGAGCACTATTCTTACTTTGAACTAAAATTGAACAAGACATACTGTTATTTATCAAGCAATGAAATGAATAAATTGATTGACTTTACTCTTTTTTGCCATTTCCTAGTATTTTGGAGAAATTTTCAAGGGGGTTTCTATTAGACAGGGGGCATTTATTAGAGAAGGGTGTCTAATACAATTTTAACAACGTAGAGGGGCTGTTTATTAGATAAGAGGCATTAATATTTTTGGAAATAGGCATTTATTACGTCATTTACGGTAGTCCACTTCATGACTTTGATTGCACTAAAACATCAACGCCTGGTAGACAAAACATTTTTTAAAACTACCATCTTATACAATCAGCAATCAGGAAAGAGGCTGTATCACTACTGGTTATGGGAAGACTGGAAAACATCATGATTTTCATTTAAACATTTTTTCAGAATAAATAACCTATGACGTCCATAATATTTGGTGGAGATTAAAATACTATTATTTTACAAGGCTTAAAAGGTTTCAAGAAATTACAAAACTAATTTCTTTAAACCTTTTTAGCCTTGTGATGTGAGCGAGGCTCAATTTCCACCGCTTTCTTGGTCCTCCCAAGAAGAGACAGCTGGAAGCATGGGTGGTTGATTATGTCAAGGGAGGAGCATGGGCTCATTTCCCAAACACCAGCTGGTAATGGAGCTTAGACCTGAGCTAGCATACTCATATGCGATGGTGTCAAAATGTCACTGGCAATATTCCATAAGCCATAAGTGAGGACAGCACAATGTTACTACACCACAGGAACACCAAGAATAAGCCTGTTAAGCACTTTGATGTTGCTGAGCCACCAAGTTCTCCTTTGATTACCTAAGAAATTATCATAATTATCATTAAATCAGTAATGTGTAGCAACAATCTGTTATTAATGAATGACCACAATCAGTCGACTAAGTTTATTTAAATAATAATAATAAATAGAACAAATTTACAGCAGGGAAAAGGAAAAGGAGCTTAATTAATGGGATAAAAACATGGGAACTGCTCTAGGGGAAATGCTACACTAAAGTAAGTACAAACTTAATAATTTGCTAACATTTTTCTGAAAGCTTTACTTTACATGTAGTTGTTTACACTAATAGTTAAAACAAGATAAAGGTTCACTTCAGAAGTTCACCTCACTAAACCAGAAATAAGTAGGTTGAGTATGATTATTCGGGTGAACGTAGTCCTGAATAGGACTCTTTTTGTTGACTGACATTTTAGACAACCTGTGTAGGAGTCATCTTCAGAGTCAAAGTGAGTTGTATCATGTCAGTTGATGGTATCAAACTCTGGTTATTGACCTGATTGGTCAATTAAGTCGTGATTTTATTGGTCATCTATCAGTTAAGCTGTGATGTTATTGGCTATGAAGACTTGTAATATCATTGGTGTGTTTGGATCCATCTATTGTCACAGTTAAATAGTTGTTTATTGTTACTCAAATTATCAGTTGTCCAGGGAATGACTGGACACTGTCAACAACAACAGTCCTATTCAGGACTATGTTCACCTCGACAATCATATTCAACCTACTTATGAAATGACTCCCACGTTCAAACCTTTCAGTTTTAAACAAGAATGTTTACAAAGAGAATGGGAAATACGAAATATTTTTTGGCAGGAGAACTTACCCATCTTCTTATGACAAGGGTCAAAATACAGACCAGTCCAAACGATGAGAAGATCACAACAGAGAAGGTTAGGTTTCCACTGTACACAATATACTTGGTTTTCTTCACTGCATGGTAACAAGTGGATATAACCCAAGGCAATCCAAGACCAAGAAACACATTCACACTGTTACTCCCTGTGAAATAGGACATAATTACCTCTCAGGAAAGAAAACATAATTGGGTTACAGTCAAACCTATGTTGATAAAAAAATTGGTTCCCCTTTGTTTAGAGGCAAATTGCTAGAACCCCAAAAAGTTGTCAGCAAATCGCTGTAAACAATATTATTGTTTACAATTATTATTATTAGCCTCTACTTATCAATGCCATCTTAGGGGTGATGGTTACCTCTATTAAAAGACCAGGAAGAACTTAGTTTTGCATTTTTAGTCTAGCTGAGAGCAACGAAATGAACATGTGTAAATAAACACAATTATTATTGTCATTCTGTTCAAAACAATCACAACATGCCCACCACACCTGACACTGCTTTCAGGCGACTGTCTTTTAAGAGTAGACTTCCCTTGCTTGAGTGAGGCCATTATACAAAGGAAGGATTTTATTGACATTAACAAATACTGATGACACAACCTGTTTAACAACCTGTTTTGTTTGTAGTAAACAAACGATTGAAGATTTTCACATGGCAGCAGTAATCAAGATAATTATGGATGTGAAAGATCAGTTTGTCAGATTGTTATGTCAGCATTTTTACGATTCCTTATCAAGGTTGTATTAAGCGTCAAGTTTTCATTTACTTTCAAGTCTACTAAATTGATGAAAGGCACACCACTAAATGCACTACAAGCCTTCATTGATGGGTTTCACAGCAAATTGATGGACTGACCTGTGATGTTGCCAATAGAAGCATCTGCTCCGATGTCATGTAAAGCAGCACTGCGACTGGCAAAGGTATCTGGTAAGCTGGTTCCAATTGCAATAATTGTGATCCCAGTAACACTGTTCTTGAGCCCTACTACACAACCAAGAAGCTTACCAAGCTGAAAAATAAAATGCAAGACTTGTTAGCTTGTGAACAAAGTGCCCAAAGTTAATGAATACATTTATTTTTTATTACAGAAGAAACATCTTTTGGCCAAGATAATACAGTTTATGTGTACCTGTTCCACTAAAGCAGTAAGACCTGCAATGAACAACAAGGAAATGATAAAGGCTGGCCATCCCCCAAGAAAGTTTCTGTGAAAAAGGAAAACCATTCATGGCTGTTATAAAACGTATTCTACCAGCACTTGGATAAAAAGATTGATGTAGCATTTTCTTAACACTAATAAAGTCCACTTTTTTGGTTTTTAGTATGAAAATGATGAAAATAACATACATGTAGGGTGATGCATCTTGAAGTCTGATCATTTGCATAGCAGTACAAGGGAGAAAGAGTCAAGCATGACTTGAGAACAAGGGGAGAAATTTCTTAATTCACATTTTCAAGATTCATCTTGGAGAAGAGCTGCTTGAAAGTTGCTTTTCAGAAGTTTTAAGCATAACGTTTTTAAATCCTTTCTAGCTGAACAAAAGGCTTGTCAAACAGACTGATTTGGTCTTTCATTATGTTCAAACTGCAATGTCTTTAAATAAACTATTTAATCACACTTTACAAAATTAATATATTATAATAAACCTAGTGTATGGCCTCGCTCTCCATGAGTTCTCCGTAGCTCAGTGGATAGAGCGCCTGCCCGGTGTTTGGGAAGTCATAGGTTCGAATCCTGTTGTGAACTCAGATTTTTTTTGTTCGTCCCACGCTTGTGAATGCTCATTATTTCAACTTCACAATAATATTGTTAGTCAGCAACATTATTTACAATTTGGTATAAAGTGTGCACATGTCAGAGAGATTCAGAATCAGGTTTAAGGCAAAAGTAAACATCAATGCTTTGTTCTTTTGTCAGTGTCATACAACAGTGGTTATGTCCTAGTGAGCCAGGAATGAGTAAAAGAGGGAGAGTTGGTTGATAAGACTGTAGAACTGCAGGCACAAGAAAGAAAAAAGGAAATTCATAGATGAGAGAGGACAACTTTGTTGTGGACACTTCGATCTGTCCCTTTGGAGTTCCTGTTGTGCTACAGTCTATAATCACATTGGCATTATAACAGTGAAACACTTTGAGACAACTAAGAAAACTACTCAGTACAAACTCATAACAATGAATTATTACTAATAGAATTTACATTATGGAGCACTGTCCAAGTGCATCTCAGAATATATTGTAAGTCAGAAACACACGCACTGCATTTTGTGCCTGTGCGAAGAGGACCTCCCCTGAAGGCAACAAAAATCAATGATTCAGATTTGCCTCAAATACCCCATATAAAATATTAAATATTTTTAAAAAATGTAAGTTAAAAGACATCACAACAAAAATGTTTCTCTATAACTGTACAATCATAAAAAAACTTAAAGGCCTAAACAACCTTTCAAATAAAGTTCTTGCCATAAACAGCATTCAGGAACATATCACAGCTACATACACTACGCAGATGGTAAGACAATGCTGAACGAAAACCTCCATCCAATCTTGAAAAGGTAGCTCGACTAACACTAGTTTGTCTTACAGTAATACCGTAAATGACCTAATAAACACCCGGGGTGTCTATTTAATTTTAGGGGTCTAAGCAAGGGCATTTAAAAGATAGGAGGCATTCATTTGAGAGAGGGGTTTACTTGCATAATTTTAACTCATCAAAACAGCTGAACAAAACTTATACAGCATGTTTTTGGCAAAAATTCAGTCCATCTATTGATAATATTTCCTCACCATATATAGTTTGACACTCGTTACTGTATAGTAAATTATGTATTTTTAAATGCTATTGCATAAATTTACACCAATTAAAATTGGTGTATATCAGAGGATCAAAGAGCACTATTCTTACTTTGAACTAAAAATACACAAACTGTTATTTATCAAGCAATGAAATGAATAAATTGTTTGACTTTACTCTTTTTTGGCATTTCCTAGTATTTTGGAGAAATTTTCAAGGGGGTTTCTATTAGACAGGGGGCATTTATTAGAGAAGGGTGTCTAATACAATTTTAACAACGTAGAGGGGCTGTTTATTAGATAAGAGGCGTTAATATTTGGAAGTGGGTATTTATTAGCTCATTTGTGGTAATCCACTTCATGACTTTGATTGCACTAAAACATCAACGCCTGGTAGACAAATATTTTTTTTAAAACTACCTTCTTATACAATCAGCAATCAGGAAAGAGGCTGCATCACTACTGGTTATGGGAAGACTGGAAAACATCATGATTTTCAATTTAAACATTTTTTCAGAATAAATAACCTATGATGTCCATAATATTCGGTGGAGATTAAAATACTATTATTTTACAAGGCTTAAAAGGTTTAAAGAAATTAAAAAACTAATTGTTATTTCTTTAAACTTTGTTAGCCTTGTGATGTGAGCTAGGCTCAATTTCCACCGCTCTCTTGGTCCTCCCCCAGAAGAGACAGCTGGATGCATGGGTGGTTNTATTTCTTTAAACTTTGTTAGCCTTGTGATGTGAGCTAGGCTCAATTTCCACCGCTCTCTTGGTCCTCCCCCAGAAGAGACAGCTGGATGCATGGGTGGTTGATCATGTCAAGGGAGGAGCGTAGGCTCATTTCCCAAACACCAGCTGGTAATCGAGCTTAGACCTGAGCTAGCATACTCATATGTGATGGCGTCAAAATGTCACTGGCAATATTCCATAAGCCATAAGTGAGGACAGTACAATGTTACTACACCACAGAAACACCAAGAATAACCCTGTTAAGCACTTTGATGTTGCTGAACCACCAAGTTCTCCTTTGATTACCTAAGACATTATCATAATTATCATTAAATCAGTAATGTGTAGCAACAATCTGTTATTAATGAATGACCACAATCAGTTGACTAAGTTTATTTAAATAATAATAATAAATAGAACAAATTTACAGTAGGGAAAAGGAAAAGGAGCTTAATTAATTAATGGTAATTAATGGAATAAAAACATGGAAGCTGCTCGAGGGGAAATGCTACACTAAAGTAAGAAACATTTTTCTGAAAGCTTGGGGTGAACGTAGTCCTGAATAGGACTGTTGTTTGTTGACTGACATTTCGACAACCTGTCTAGTAGTCATCTTCAGAGTCAAAGTGAGTTGTATCACGTCAGTTGATGGTATCAAACTCTGGTTATTGACCTGATTGGTCAATTAAGTCACGATTTTATTGGTCGTCTATCAGTTAAGCCGTGATGTTATGGGCTATGAAGACTCATAATGTCATTGATGTGTTTCAATCTATCTACTGTCACAGCTAGTTAAACAGTCGTTTACTGTTACTCAAATTGTAAGTTGTCCAGAGAATGACTGGACACCGTCAACAACAACAGTCCTATTCAGGACTATGTTCTCCCAGACAATCATACTCAACCCACTTATGAAATGACTCCTGGGTTCAAACCTTTCAGTTTTTAACAAAAAATGTTTACAAAAAGAATGGGAAGAATGAACCATTTTTTGACAAGAGAACTTACCCATCTTCTTATGACAAGGGTCAAAATACAGACAAGTCCAAACGATGAGAAGATCACAACAGAGAAGGTTAAGTTTCCGCTGTACACAATATACTTGGTTTTCTTCACTGCATGGTAACAAGTGGATATAACCCAGGGCAATCCAAGACCAAGAAACACATTCACACTATTACTCCCTGTGAAATAGGACATAAATACCTCTTAGGAGAGAAAACATAATTGGGTGACAGTCAAACCTATATTGAAAAAAAATTGGTTCCCCTTTGTTTAGAGGCAATTTGCTAGAACCCCAAAAAGTTGTCAGTAAATCGCTGTAAACAATATTATTGTTTACAATTATTATTATTAGCCTCTACTTACCAATGCCATCTTAGGGGTGATTGTTACCTCTATTAAAAGACCAGGAAGACCTTAGTTTTGCATTTTTAATCTAGCTGAGAGCAACGAAATGAACATGTGTAAATAGACCAAATTAATTGTCGTTCTGTTTAAAACAATCACAACGTGCCCACCAGACCTGACACTGCTTTCAGGTGACCGTCTTTTAAGAGTAGACTTCCCTCGCTTGAGTGAGGCCATTATACAAAGGAAGGATTTTATTGACATTGACACTCACTGATGACACAACCTGTTTAACAACCTTTTTTGTTTGTAGTAAACAAATGATTGAAGATTTGGCATGGCAGTAGTGTTCAAGATAATTAAGGATGTGAAAGATCAGTTTGTCAGATTGTTATGTCTGCATTTTTACGATTCCTTGGCAAGGTTGTATTAAGCATCAAGTTTTCATTTAGTTTGAAGTCTACTAAATTGATGACAGGCACACCACTAAATGCACTACAAGCCTTTATTGATGGGTTTTACAGCAAATTGATGGACTGACCTGTGATGTTGCCGATGGAAGCATCTGCTCCGATATCATGTAAAGCAGCACTGCGACTGGCAAAGGTATCTGGTAAGCTGGTTCCAATTGCAATAATTGTGATCCCAGTAACGCTGTTCTTGAGCCCTACTACACAACCAAGAAGCTTACCAAGCTGAAAAATGAAATGCAAGACTTGTTAGCTCGTGAACAAAGTGCCCAAAGTCAATGAATACATTTATTTTTTACAACATGCATGAAGAAACATCTTTTGCACAAGAAAATACAGTCTATGTGTACCTGTTCCACTAAAGCAGTAAGACCTGCTATGAACAACAAGGAAATGATAAAGGCTGGCCATCCGCCAAGAAAGTTTCTGTGAAAAAGGAAAACCATTCATGGCAGTTACAAAAAGTATTCTACCAGCACTTGGATAAAAAGACTGATGTAGCATTTTCTAAACACTAATAAAGTCCACTTTTTTGGTTTTTTAAAGTATGAAAATGATGAAAATAACATACATGTAGGGTGATGCATCTTCAAGTCTGATCATTTGCATGGCAGTACAAGGGAGAAAGAGTCAAGCATGATTTGAGAACAAGGGGAGAAATTTCTTAAGTCACATTTTCAAGATTCATCCTGGAGAAGAGCTGCTTGAAAGTTGCTTTTCAGAATTCAGAGAGGACTAACAATTCTTTTTGTCAAGATCACCTGTTAGTTATTAATGATAGAGGAACTATAATAAATACTGTAATATTTTAAGTTACCTTGGAGGAACAAAGGCAAAAAGAACTTTCCAAATGAATGTCAGAAAATGAAGCACAAAGTCCATGGTACTAAGTGGCTCTTGCTTTCCATCTTCATCCTCTTCTCCTTGAATAACTATTGCCCTTTTCACAATGATAAACATGCAGTCAAAAAACTAAGAATAAATTTCACTCTAAATGCAATGCAGCCATGCAGAGGGGAGATGAAGAGAGTAACAAAAAGAGGGAAAAGAACATTATAGACCTGAGAAAAAGCAGACAACAATGAACTGACAGCTGTCAGATGCACACAGTCCAATATCAGGTCAACGAGAAACAAAGTAAAAATAATTATTATTACTTTCGATGAATAAAACACATGTAAACTTTACTGTGAGAAAAAGGGTAGGCAGGTAAGGACAGGTGTGACTTTTTAATTTTACTTACTCAAGATGAACGATCTTGAATTATTCAAGGTTTATTCAGACTTAAATCTTCCTTATTTACCACTGTCGGCAGACAGTTCACTGACAGTAATGGCCGACATAATTTTAGGGGAGCTCTTCTTCACTTTTACCAATTCTCCAAAACTTGAATAATATTATTATGAATCAGTTCAAGTGCATGATTGCACATTTTGCTGATTAATGTGCAAAATGTTTCCTGACTAACAAGAGAAATACATCCCCATGAGGAAGGAACAAACTCTTAGTGTTCATTGTTTTATTTGGAGCAATTTCCTTAATAACAACATCAGCTGTTAGTGTTCATTATTTTATTTGGAGCAATTTCCTCAATAACAAAATCAGCTTTTTGAAGCTTTAGACCCCTTCCTTCCTCCCTGTCCTCAATTTCAAAGACAATTTCTCACAGATTTTGCATTCTAAATAGATGTAATACAGAACATTTTAAGCAAGACCAGATCACCATATTTACTCAGTTTCCACTGAAACAAATGGTTGCATTGGAGCAGCACTTAATATTAATGGACCCTTAACAGGCGAAAGTTGTATGAGAAGTTTAACACTAGCGGTTGAGAAGCAGTTCGACACGAGTAGAAGACGACAGTAATATAAACGATGAGAGAGTTGTTATAATAGGTGTAGACTTTGTTGTTATAAAATGTATTTCCATTTGGGGCCAATTCTGGAAGTTAAATCAACCATCATTTACAAATGGAGAGGAGAAGTGTGACAACACGTTACCATGGTAGCAACATTTCTGGATCACAACAATGGGAAGCTTAAGCAACAATGACGGCGACAGCAATGGGAACGGCAAAAAAGCAATTGGTTTATATTAGCAAAGCAACAACTTTGCACGTGTATCACGCTTTTTTGTACATTTCTTTGCCATCGTTGCAAGTCTGTGACAAACTTCCTAAATTCATGCACCCACTTTACAGAGTTGGTGAACACAGCACAAAAATTTTCTTTTTCTATACGGTCCTTTGGGATTCAACCTGTGACAATTTCGCCAACATTTTACAAATTAAATGAAATTAAATAAGATCAATGGAGTTCAAAACAGTGCGAATTCACTTTTTAAGTGACGTTTTTGGTTTGTTGTCATCCGGAAATTTTGCTACCATCATGGCAACGTGACCAGACAACTTCTCCTCTCTATTATAAAATGTAACAATGCTGATAGTTTTGTTGCTGATGACACTGTTTCTACCAGCCGTTACTCAGGGATAGACATGAGGGAAGGCTCCACCCAAAGGTAACCTGCTTCTTTACTTTAATTATAAAGAAGGGGAAAAAGAAACACTGATGCATTATTTACATTGCGAGTCACCAATGGCCCTCCAAACTAAAGAAACTTATGTTTGATTGTCTTGTTATAGTATATTAAGCCAATAGGTGTTCAGTCAAGATATTGTGTGAAATGCAATAGAATTTAAGCCATTTAATGTACATTAGATAATGGCAGTCAGATTTTGATGAGGCACAACAACAACCGCAACACTAACTGTAAATCTATTCATATGTCTATTGTGTCAGGTCCAATCCAAAAGAAATCAAGATTCTGGCTTTTACACAAGTTAACTGATAAAAAATGTACCATGCCCTCTTTCCTGTGAGTGGCAAATAATGATATTGCCCATGAGGGAACACAGGCTGCCTGGGCATCTTTTTCAACAAGCTTACCATTGGTTATGTTAACAACTGCAGCACTTTTCTTCCCAAGTTTGGCTCCTGGACTTAGATTACTCAACAATACAATGAAGTTTTTATTCTGAAATATTGAAAAAATTAATATGGATTGGAATCTGTAGAAATAACTCACTCAATAACGTAAAAGTGAAGGGAAAAACACAGGTAGCTTAGAAAATTATATTTTGCAATTTATTATACAAATAAGACATCCCACAAAGTGTGAATGAACGAATCAGTGAAAGAGCCTAATTTTTATTAAGTGAGAAAACCGACTTGCTAAAAAAAAAAAAAAATTAGCAAAACTGTAGAGTGACATTGGCAGTTTATTGTTATCATGATCTAAAAATTAGAGCACAATACAATAAAAATATAAAACCGTACATTGCAGCTATTAACACAATACAGACTCATCCCTAAAATATCCTCGCAAAGAGCTGGAATTCTTAAGTTGATTACATGATGTATTCACTGGTCAGATAATAAAAAAGCAAACTATTGAACCCTAATTAGTTCACTAAGCTACTGAATTCTTCTATTAATATCAGTTCTATAGCAACTATTGCAATGTGAAGTGGAAAATTTTTGTCAAGTAAATCAATCATAAGTTGGTGGAGCATAATCAACTGGGTGAAAATTAATAGTCCTGAATTAAGGACTGTGGTTGACAGTAACTCACGTTTCAACAACCTTTGTAGTAGTCACCTTCAGAGTCAAAGCGAGTTGTGACATGTTGCCTGATGGTATTAAACTACAAAGGCTGATCTAAATGTACATTGTAGACACATCCTACCTGACAATCAGGGTTGACTCTTATGATAAGCTGTTTTGATGTCTCTCCATGTTGGAAGACTAACTTCCCCTCCAATGCATGCTCAAAGTCACACTTTTTCTCATTCAAGTCATCTGCAGAACCACCTGAGCCAGTACCATTCCTAAAAACCAAAAATGCATGAGTTTAATAAAAGGGTTGAATAAGTATAGGTAATGGCATGATTAGTAGTGGTATTTGGCATAAATACCACGGGTGATATTTCAAAATTGTTATACGTAATTTCACGAGCCGGTAGGCGAGTGAAATTTGAGACAATTTTGAAATATCACGAGTGGTATTTATGCCAAATATCACGTACAAATTATGCTATTATTTGTTTATACNGTGGTATTTGGCATAAATACCACGGGTGATATTTCAAAATTGTTATACGTAATTTCACGAGCCGGTAGGCGAGTGAAATTTGAGACAATTTTGAAATATCACGAGTGGTATTTATGCCAAATATCACGTACAAATTATGCTATTATTTGTTTATACTACTACCCGCAAAAGGTTTGTAATTTTCACATGTAGGTATTTCAAATTAAGCTGAAATACCACTGCCCTAAGCCAATCAAATTGCAGAAATTTCTCATGTAGTAGTATAACATGTAGAAAATTATTTAAATAATAAGAAGTATACTCAAACCCACATTGTGTTGTAGGTCAATGTAACAGTTCCATCACAGCCTTTCTTTCTAATGATACTACATGTTACATCTCCAGATACCACGTTAGCAAAATAGCATGCTTGTTCAAATGAAAATTCCCCAGGTTCTACAAAACAAAACACAACCAAGCAGGTTTTAGCGTTAACATAATAATAGTTGTAGACAGCCATAACATAATACACCAGTTCATATCTCGGTGTTTATGTCAAGAAGGACTTGACCTGGTCTGACCATTTTAAGTATGTGACAGCTAAAGCTGACTGTATGCTTAGATTTATCAAAACTAACTCAGGGATCCATATTCGCAATCATCTGGTTGTTCCAAATGACTACAATATCGCATAGATGATTAAGATAACTCCAAAAGTTGTCCTTTGGGCTCAACCACAAAATCTTTCCAAAAATTCTTATATGATGTTATCATGTACATTTTGCCTGTGTTCTGATTACTTCTCATCCACTTAACGGCGAATAATATGCAGCTTTTGTCTGCAATGAAATGAATGATGCTCAGTTTTCATGTTGTTAACCGCTAGTATTTTTCATTTTGCAAAGGTTATTGCATTCACAGGCCATTCACAAAAAACGTAACAGTACTCATGAAGATGTGGCATTTTTAGAAGGTGTTTTGCCACCTCCGGCAAAAAAGTGAAGCAATAGCCGCTGCCTTATACAAGGAAAAACATAACTCCACCTTCTTGCCTTCATGGCAAGCTGACAAAGTCAATGTTGTTTTGTGACTTTGAGATCGTCCTAACACAGATTTACCCAAGGCAGATTTTTATTCTTCATTACCCTAAAATAATTTATGAATTCTCCAGACATAATGTCCAAACACAGGTGGGATTTTGTAGGACATTAGCAAATTTTGGTCAGCCAATGTCCGATGACCGACTGTTCTTTGCAGCCCTGTTACACTGTACTTTTCACAGAGATTGAGATCATTACCATCATCATCAATTATTGTGATCCTGGCCAGGTTAGGTTCTCCTAGTTCTGCTTTTCCCACTGGATTTTTCAACAACACATAAAAGTCTTTCTCCTGTGTATATCCTTCATGGTGAATTAGAGTTATTGTCAATGCCTTTTTAGTATCTCCTGGTTTAAATGTCTGCAAAATAAAGCAATTAATATTAATGATAATAATTATTTCTAGATGTGACTGTTTTAATTTCTAAACAATAAAGTTTAAATGAACTTAAAGAAGATCGTCTTTGCGACATGATTAATTTTGTTGTTGTTATTTTTAATTTATCTTTCATTACATAATTCCTCTTGACAATACCTACTTGCACTGTACAAATATTAGTACACATACTTAAATCACATTATTTCACAAATTAATGAACTATCTAACTCTCAAAAGGTCTTGAAACAGAGGAAAATGTACTTTCTCTATGATTACTCACCAGTGTCCCTTTCAAACTGTTATAGTCCTTTCCATTTCTTGCAGAGCCATCACGAGTCTCATAATCAACAGAAAAGTCAATACTGGAAGCTTGTGCTGAGTCACTGCCCATGGTATCACTGTTAAGAGTTGCTTGAGAGGCTGTATCTCCTGTGTTGTAAGCACTGTCCCTCGATGGTATCATCCTTCCAAGTTTAGGAGTTGATAAGGGCCCACCATTACTTTCCTTCAAAACATTAATTTTTGACTTTATATTGTACTTTACATGAATAGAAATGTATTTGAGTTTGACATAAAATATTGGAACTAAAATAATAGAGCAGTGATGGACCCTGGTGAAGAAAGAGTGGAATTTTTTTTCAAATTAAATCAAATGTTATTATATTCAGATTATTATTTTGAAGTATGTACATTCTTACTGAGCTTAACATTGAAACTAGTCAATGAGCCAAATTAGAGCTTAGGCCCACTTCAGATTCCCTACTTCACATAAGCCCAATCAGATTCAATGAACTAAGTTCATGTGAAGTATGGCATCTGAACTGGGCCTTTGAAGTAATTAGAATTTGAATTTCTAAGCAAAATCATCACTCACACTCTTCTACATACAATTCTTAGTCAATGAAGAGACTAAAACGTAATGTAATCAACAAGCCATACAGACATAACATTGTACACTGTACATGTAAGTATATTACTAATAATTCAAACATCTACAAACCGGTATGGAAAGTTGATTCTTATTTTCTTGAGTGATTGGTGTTCTTGGGTCATATGGAGCTGGTAATGGGAGTTGTTTACGTGAAACAGCGGGTGACCTGTAAAACGAAGTTAAGTCTGTTAGTTGACCAGGCAAAAAGAGTGGAACTGTTTGACACTAAAAAGCGATCTGAGCAAAGAGCGTAAAGAAAATGAACTATGGATGACAAAACTGTCACATTTCATACTTCCAAGGTTTCTTGACTTTAAGTTATTACTTACTCAAGAATGACATGCAAACCTGGGCATCCTTTGACTGAGTTGAACTTCCACTGTTAATTTCTTGGCACTTTTCACAACAGAATATGAAGATGCACTGAAGCTGAAACATTTTTCATCTGTTTGGGTAAGAACTCAATAATTAATTATTAAGTAGAGTCAGACCTAAGATACTTCTTTTCTTCCTATGGTTTCTAGTAGGGGAACATGCATCCAATTAAATTAATATTATAAAGTGTTCCCAATAAAAGGGACTACCACATTTTTTGCTTTCTGTGCATACCTGAACTTCCAAATCTGATTTTTAGAATCAGGGACAGAATGTAGCCAAGAGCTTGACTTATAAACAGCAATTTGGGTAGTTTAGGTTGGTTCGATTTGGCTGAAACAGCCTGACTACTGCCAGCTTTAAAAGGAGTTTTTCAACAAAATTTCCCACCTTCTGTCCAGAAATGAGGGAATGAATTAAACACGAGGGTTAGATCTACTGGTAACTATTTCTCCCTTGAAGCTGGAAAATACTTGTATCCAACATACTTGTAATACATTACCTCCTGTTAGAAGCTTTGATCCATAGAAAGACATGGAAAGAAGATTCAATTGCTGCTGATCTTGATCTTTCTCTGGTTCTTGGCGTACTGTGAAGGTTCCCTGCTTCTTTCGCGTTACACTACGCAATGCAGCATGGCGAAAACTAAAAACAAATTAAGGAATAATATTGTTAAGTAAACAATGACCCCTTTACATAAACCAATTAAAAAGGCAAACTTCGCCCAAAACCTAAAATAGAGAGGAAATCTTTCCATAAATTTATTTAAAAAAACATTATACCGTGCTCTGGTTGAAGCACTGTTTTGAGGCTGCTGAGTGATCTGCTTATACTGCTTCAAAGCTAGGACTACATCTGCTGTTGTTTTATTGGCATTATGGTCAGGGTTTGAGCCTTTCCACATGTTCACAACTTTTCTGTTGACAGCAATGGAAAACAAAATATTTTTTCACTACCATAAATCAAACTTAACCCATTCGCTCCTGGAGATTTTGCCGAAAAACGCGTTTTGAAGCTAGTCGAGTGGTTTTCTGGTCACTGTCGTGCTATAAAGAGCTAAAACTTACCACAAACCGGTCTACAGGTCGTACACTTGGCGGCCTTCTGATCCAGATGCAAAATATCAGCTTGCGAAGTTCGGGCATGCGCAGAAAGCAAAATTTCGACATAGTTTTTGGGTTTAAAAGTGACACAGCAGTCTTGACTTTTACTTTTCGCTTTCTCTCCTCCCTTCTTTTTTCGCTTTTCTTGCCTCATTTTTTTTTTCTCTTGCTGGGCATTTAGTAGGCTTCATTTTGGTGGGAAGAGTTTTTAGGAAAGCTTTTAGGATCTTAGGATTAGGTGAAAGGAAAGGTAGGTGGGTAATGGAACAAGATTTTCATGGAGATTTTCAGGTCCTTGTCACGTGGTTTTTTGCTTCTTTCTCCGGTGTCCTTGACTGAATTGTGGTCATTCTGGTATGGTTTGAAAGATCTCTTCACTCTGCACAAGTTACCGAAGAAAGTTGTCCTTGACTGTTAAAACTGATGACGTCACAAAGGGTAGAAAGGACCTGGATCCGCACGGGCGGTTACGGGCGGTTCAGGGGTGAATGGGTTAACTTGAAAAATGCACAATATATTGAAGCTTTCTCTGGGGCTATCATTTTGAAATCCACGAAACTCTGACAAAGGTGAATCCAAGTGAAAACTCTCAATTTATTAAGTGTCAAGATGTCAGTATTTATTGGCATTAGCTCTACTCCTGCTTCAGTCTGCAAATTGTTTAAGAAAGAAAACCAAAATATATCATTACTAAAAAGGGAAAGAGTAAAAATAAACGGCATATATAAATGCCGAAAAATTATTACATATCCTACAGTGTCCACATCTGACAGAATATTTACACAAATTACCTAATTGTTTCCTTGCTTCCAGCTAAGTCATCATCACTGTTAAGAGACAAAAACAGATCACTGACTTTAAAATAACAGCTTACTTCACATACAACCAGCCGCCTCCAACAGTTCAAGGATAACTTTATTATTTTGCCATGGAATTCTGCAGAATTCCATGGCAAAATGTTTTAAATACCGACAATAAAAATTCTTACAAGTGCTTTGTGTATAATGCTGACGTGGCACAGTGCTATGTGTATATATGCTGGCGTGGCACAGTGGTCCAGGAGTCTGCCCGAGGATTAAGTGACCAATAGGTTTCACTTTTGGCCGATCTGCTTTTCTTTTTTATTTATTAGTTTTTTTAATCACGTACATTTCTTTTTCTCTTGGTTTGATTCCCTTTATTCCTACATGTACTGCTTTCCTTCACCTGTACCCTGCGAGGCTTAGCGATACACATATTTGTTATGAAAATTATAAAGGTCACTAGCTTTTTGTTTTGAAAACATTATCAAATTCAACATGGCAGTTAATTATAGTAGCGCATGCTCAAAGCAGTAGAGAGATTAAGAGTTACGTTTATGCCAAACATCAAATGCAAATTTGTGACCAAGTTTTCCCTATATTTTGTCATTTACTGTGTTTATTACTTCAACTCCAAAATAAGCAGTATCACGCCAGTCGCCAGTTTTATCTGTAAGAATTGTTCCAGACAGTTTTCATCTGCTTATTTTCTATTCTGAGGAATTCTCAACTTGAATCTGATGTTTGCCATTGGTCATAACCAGGACTCTTAATTTCTCTAGTATGCATCAATTTGTACAAGACAAAATTATCTTTTTTCCTTGTTATTTGAGAAGCCTTTGTCTTAAAACCGGGAAAAAGTTTTGAAAAATCCTTTTTGAGATACGGTCAAATCCCACTTTAATGGACAGCTGTTTAATGTGCACACCTCATTATTACATTGCCTAGTCCTGTTATTTGCCCATTAATACGGACACTTTGTGTCCATAACAGGGTTTGACTGTAAGGCCATCCTCTTTTTTTCTGCATTTAGTGTTGTCCAACCAACCCAAATTTTTGGCAATTTCCAAAAAAAAAGTAATGATGTAGTTAAACCATTTTTCTCTTGAAATAATTATTTTAATCTGAAAAATGAGTAGTAGTAACAGCAGAGGGAAAAACAGGAACAAAAACAGGAACAATTTTTACAGTATATTGTGCATTTTGTTCATCCAAATATGTGAATGTTAATTTTTAACGTCATCCTGTGGTACCAGGGCCTCCTATCTATTTCGAGACTTCTTGTGATTTTTTTTAACGCTTTTTTTTTTCAATCCGACCGACTGACCCAACATCAGGAAATGCAAACGCTAAACGATAAAAAAAGGGGATGGCCTAATATAAAAAAGGTTTTGCAGTTCATAGTAAGATGTAATAAACTGCTTAGCAAAAAGCTTTTTTAGAAAAAAACTTGAGACCTTGTAAAGAATAAATTGTACACGCCATACATAACGAGGACAGCTGAAAACAATCACACCACTATCTAAACAGTTTGAGCTCCCAATCAAAAAAATTGAATTGTCTTTCTTGACTAGATCACGCCTTCAGCATCTGGGTACGAGTTTGATCATGGATCTGTGATGGGGCTTTTGAACGACTTTCTGGCTCGGGGAGGGGCAAATTTGAACGCTGATAAGGGAGCATTCATAATTTATCTAGAGGGTGGGCTATGATGATTTCCTTATTTTTTCCTTTCATTTTTTTGAAGCCCCCCCCCCCTGATCATCTCAGGGTTTTTTTTCTGACCCCCCCTCAAGAGATGTTGATTTATCAAAGGAAAATATCATCGCCCCTCCCCCCCCTCCTCCCCCAGCACATAAGTACAACATGTCAAACTCATCCTTAGCCATATCAAAGTCTTGTGAGAGGTATATTGAGCGTTATTAGTAATTAACATAGTAAATCAGTAACAACTTGCACTAATGAAATGGTGATATTTCAAGATGTCAATTTATGAAAATATAATGTTCAGTCCAATTAAATCTCTATGCATTTTTAATTCAAAATTGTTCTATTTTGGACATTCTTGAGAAAAGCTGATTGAATGATTGGCTGATAATAAATTTAACTATCTGAATTGGTACTGGAGAGAAAGTAGTCTTTTAGTTGCACTGCGTCCAAAAGCAAATTTTCATTTCCTTTTCTTTTTCAGGAAAAAAATGGTTGCCCCCCCCCCTCTATGCTTGATGTAATTTCCGTTGGAAATTTTCCACAGCCCCCCTCTAAATCATAGTAGGGAAAAAGAGTGACCCCCCCTCAAAATCATCATAGCCCACCCTCTAGGTAAATTATGAATACTCCCTAAATAAAAAAAATTATAATGCCCGGGGAAGATGTTGAAGCTTCGACTTGACCGATACAAATAACAAAACTTATCATTTCAGCTTACTCAAAGGACTCCATAACGCTGCGCGCACACAGTATTGTGATCACATAAATATAACAACTTTTTCAGCATTCACCTGAATCTTTGCTGTTCCAAAGCCCTAAGTTCCATGGAGCGATGCATGATCGTAGGGCTCCCCGGTTCTGCAAGTCCCACAACGCGAACCTGAAGAAAAAAGAAAAGACAATTTCAAACTTTTTATTTTTTTTTAAGAAGGCAATCATACTTTAAGGTAGAAGCTGCTTTGTGTTTTCGTGCAGAAAACTTCAAAACCAAGTCTAAATGCAAAAGCACATTAACAACAATTTTCTAAAAAATTACTCATATTACATTTTCGCTTCCTTTTGGACCATACTTCGTCCAAGACGTGCCTGTTTTTACGAGTCATTTACAACTTTTTCAACCGCGTGTTCGAGCAACATAACAAACATGGCGGACTTGAGCCGCACTTCTGACCAGCGTCAGCTCTTTGAAGCAGGCGCTGAATTTTCCCGCCATTTTTTGGCGGCCTGTACAAATCTTTCGCGCCATTGTGGATCATTTGTTTTAATAAGGAACCGTCTTTTTTTTAACGAACAAGGTCTTAACAGGTAAGAATAAATTTTGCTAGTGCTAACTTATTACGTGATTTTGAATTGTTATTTTAGCATTAGCTTATTTACTGTAAAACTAGAGAGCCTGTCATTTAAACGAAGTCCTTTCACCATATAGACCGCGGTTTGAATTGTTCATCCCTTTCTTCTGTGGGTAGGACAAGCAAACTGTCCAACTTGATAAATTTTAGGTCAATTTTAGCGATTGAGGGTTAAAAAAAGGGTCAAGACGTTTGCACATTTAGGTAGCCTCCAATAAGTGTCTTAAAAACCTTGACCGACATTCAAGTCATCGTTAGCCATGGTTTAATATTTTAAGTAGATAAATAAGACGTTTAAAAAAAGCAAATTCACCGATACAGTACACATCGTGGTTTTTCTGGTGTATACCTGCCAACTCTCACGCCTTAGGTGTGAGTCTCACGCCTGTGGGTTGAAAACTTCGATCTCACGCCGGTTCACGCTTGCGGGCCAATTTCTTACGCCTGATTGAAAAATGTGAGATGTTGCCGTCTTGCTTGCCACAATTTCCAAAAATGTGTTAACTCAGACCCATGTAAGGAACGAAAACCATGTGTAAAATGAATAAATGACAATACCTTCCTCGCGATCTCTGATTTTTGAAGTGAAAAGCAAGTGAAAACTTCGCCTTCGGCAAACCTCGGACGTCTTCGGAAGACTTCGGACTTCTTCGGGAATCTTCGGAAATGATCGTGTCGTCTTCAAAAATCCCAGTGTAGTCCCAGGATAAAAATCTCATGCTTATATTTCAGAAAAAGTTGGCAGGTGTACTGGTGTGATTTTCTTCGTTTTTAGCCCCTATTTAAAGCAGCCTCGATCGATCTCAGATCGATCTCATTTAAGCGATCTCAGTATGAACGGGTAAGGCCCCGTTGACTGTTCACAGTCCTCTATTTTTCCGTAGGATCGTCGAGATCGAGCGCTTTGCGTTATGGGCTGCCATCTTGCATGATTGTCAAAACTACTTAGGGGGCGGGGGGCTGTTGGGGAGAAAACGAGAAAAATATTTTTCTATTTTTCTCGCCCCCCTCCCACTAGAGCTATAATCCCCGACGTCCGCCCCCTCGGTACATCTGAAAATCAAGATGGTCGTCATTAACGGTAAGACGCGCTATATCTCAACGATCTCACGAAAAAATAGGGGACTTAAGACATTCTAGGTTCAACTAGAAAACGATGGACGAGGGGTGAGGGTAGAGAGAGAAAAACCGTCGGTTTTTCCCACTGCCCCTCGCCCCCTCCCCCATCGTTTTCGAGTTTGACCACTGTTCAGCTTTCGCGCGGCTTTATCTCTTACTTAAGGAGCCACAAAAGGAACAACTCACCAAAAACACCGCCAGCTACGCTGGCTAGCTAGCCGTATTAATTTGACAGAACCGAGCACAAAAATTTCTCCAAATTTCAAATTAATAATGCCATCTACCGCCTTAAAAGACGTATCAAATCGGGAAATCTTCCAAAGGTGTCATACACGAGGCATCCCGTTGGAAATCTCATGCATAAGCATTTAAGAATTAAATATGACCTTGAAGGAAAAGTTTCCACTACAAACATGTACAAAGTCTAGGCAAATCAGCTGAATAGACCTCTGGAAGTAAACTAGACAACTGCATCTCCCGAACCCAAAGGGAGTCTAAAATAGAATGGCGCTAACAATTTGATTTCAATTTTCCAACCGGAATTTGCGGTTTCCCCATGACGTTTTGGAATACATGGAAATTATTAGTAGAAATTCCAGAACATTGAACATTGATGTTGTCCCTGAAAATCCGCAAGAACCCTGGGAAAGGGGTTGGAAAATCCGTGGTTCTTGTCAAGGCATATTGCTCATTTCAAGAAGCCATTCACTCGACATTGTCGATATGGCCGGAAGTTCCGAGTGCTTGGATTGAAACTGAACCTCAATAAAAATGCGGGTTTCATTTACGGCGCAAGAGATTTCTGATAGAAAAATAATTCTCGTTGAGTGCAGAAAATTTCAAAACTCAGAGCAAAAATTAAGAAAACAAAACGAATATTTCGTGCGTATCACTCGGACTTCCTCAGCGTTATGAAGAGACAACGAAAAGTTACGGATTTGCGAAAGAGAATTATAAATTGCCGGTAGGCCCAGTCCTTCCCCCCTATTCAGGGAGGGTTTGCTTTGTTCACGTCCTCCTTGACTTGGCGCTTGACATTTATACTAAGTGACCTAAATGCCTTCGCCAGAGCAGGTGAAAAACCTTTTTGGTGACGTTTTCACGTTGTTGTTGCTGTTTTTTCTTCCTTTCATATTTCTGTAAATTTTAAACAATTATTGGATAAGGTTTTTTGTGATATCCAGAATGATCAAGGTCGAGGTAAGTGTTATCGGCCAGGCCGAAGGCCGAGGCTTAAAACACTTACCAAGACCTTGATTATTTAGGATATCACGAAAACCGAATCTATTATACGTAGGTTTGAAGAAAATAACGACAACACACCGTCGCAAGGAACCTGAATTGATATTGTTGTTGGAAATCATGCATTGCGTGCGTAACCTATAACTAAGTTATCTTCAGGTTACGCTGATTTCCAAAATTACTGTAGCTGTAGGCTCTTAGCCAATGAGAAAACAGATAATGAGTACAGTGTATTAATAGAACCTGGGAACGAGGTTGTGTATAATAATGAAACTTATCGCTTACGGGTAATTTCAAAATGTAAGCTTCATATTATTCAAGCAAGCATCTGTCATCCCTGACTTCTCAACTCTCTTACTCTATGTCCAGTGAAAATAAAAATCTGCCGAAATTTGATATATGACAGTCTGAACAGGATGCAGTAGATCTCAAAGGTTACACCCAGCATTGGTTGTACTTTTAATGAAGAAACTCGCCAGAAACTTTGTCAGTGAATTCGTTAGCGTAAGAGCGGATTTCCTCATTTCAATCTTAAAAAAATTCCGTACCCCGCTAGGTTGTCGTTTCGTTCCTGATAAGTTTAAGTTCTTACAAACCATTTTGACGATTACAGGCAACCGACGGATAAATTTCATAGAAAAATATAATGGCTTGGAAGCAAGAATACTGATCGGTTCAAGTTATTAAAAGTTAAGGACTGAACTGGTTCATAAGCATGAAGTAGAAATTGTTTTTGCACTCTATAAATTTTTTATGTAGCACTTGAAAACAAATTCAAAAGTTTGCCTCTGTTACCAGTGCCCTATTGTCTTCGAAAATGTAGAAAGATAGACCGGCAATATAGAAGGTCGACAGCTAAAATAGGCAGGTAATATGGTAATTTGCCATAGATTTTAAAATTTCTGTATCAGCTCCAGGAAAAAATTTATAACAAGGATTATTGTGTTCCCTGGCGAGGTTGTGTAACTGTAGTAGACAACAAACCCGTCAATGATGTGTTCGTTAGTCAAGATTTTAATTAATGTCAGTAGTCAATGTTATATTTTCCTCTCTGTAATTACTGAAGATACAGCTCGCCGTGTATTAAGTTGGTTTGACAGTCAGGCAACTCAGTCCGCTAGGGACTTTTTGCGGCTGACAGACTCTTCCCAAGAAACGGGGGTACCCAACGAGAATATAGTTCAAAACCACTTAAACATAGCATTGTTAAACGTATTTTAGTATTTAAACGGTAGATATAGGCATATTTTTATCCCCTAAAAATTTTTCATCTGTTCGGATTTCCTAGCTGAAAGTCTAGTGATCCGAAGGGATTAAAACTTACCTTTTCGAAAATTTCAGCCAAAAAAAAGGCTCCCGAAAATTCTAGGTGACCTTTTTACGGTAAAAATCGGTTAAAAATGGGCAATTGTACCATTTTCTAGATGTTCGAAAATCCTAGGAGAGGCAGGAAAGCAAGAAATTTTACAACAAATGTTCCGAAAATTCTAGATCTCAAATCGTCTTCCGAACAGATATTTTCCGAAAATTGACTTTGGGTGCCCCTGAAGAAACGTTCCTAGCGGCGAGGAGCTAGGAACGGCGGTATTGGCGATGCTACGGGCGGAAAATGTCAAAACTGTGCACTAAGTGAACAGATTTTAATTTCTTAGCCGTGCCTTGACAAGATACTTGATGGGATAGAAAGTCAAGGATTTTACGCTTGCAAATTAACACAAACACTTACAAAACATTTATCGGTAAAATACTTTGTGAGGCTTAGATCACGGAAAACTTAAAATCTTGGTTGCCATAGTTGTCTAGCGGAACTAACTTCACCCAGAAACCGTTAAACCTACGACCTTTCTGCTTCAGGTATTTCCTGCAATTTAAAACATTGTGAGTAAAAGGCATCTTTTGAACAAAATTCTTAATGCACACAAGAGAAGATGTTTACATAATAAATACATTAGAAAGTAGATAGCTTTGCAAATGATTTTATTCAAATGATCACCAGGGCACGTGCGCTACACCAGCTACACAACAACCCTTGTTCTTTGCAGCGATGCTTTTAGGCACGTAGGAAATAAACTGGATTTTTCCCCCAATCAATCCCAACAACTGAGTTGACCCGTGTTTACTAATTGACAAAGACAATGCAGTTTAATTACAATTGTTTGAATGTACTCACCTCAGGAGCCTCAACGCTCAAGATTCGTCCTCTCCTGCACCACCAACCGTTATCCTGACACCATGACGTGACGACAAGAAGAGGAAAAAAGCTCAAAGTAACAAATGCTTCCCATAGTTCGATCTCGTCCGGAGAACTCCACTTTAGAACAACTAGTAGCCAGACATAGGCGAAGAGAGACCAAGCAGAGGTCACAATAAATACACCAAATTCGCGGATCTTTTTAACTGTCCCACTCGGGACACTTACCACGCAAATCGCTGTGATAAGAAGGAGATTAAATGAAGCAGAACCAATTATCGTAAATGTACCAAGACCGTCCTTATCCTCTTGTTTTGCGTCGGGTTCATTACCTAGATTTTGCGCCGTCTCTACCACAGCCAGCAGAATTTCAGGGGCTGAAGAACCTAACGCCATAAGAGTTAGATTGGCCACAGTTTCGTTCCACACAAAAACTTCAATCTCAACTCGCTCCTGCTTCTCTGGATCGTAGCGTGTCACTTTTCGTTTTTTACTTGTTATTACTTCTATGCAGCTCATAAATATATCTGCTATTATCGCGATCCCTAAGAATAAGTACAGCATGGCCACTGTATACAAAAATCCACGAAGGCCTTCGCTCCATAAGTTTTCTGCTGGCAATAGAAGCCAGCTTTTGAAGCACGGTGGCTCAAATTCAACGACGTATCCTCTAGAGTAATTGGTGAAGTGGTAAACCATCGTTAATGACAACGGCACAAGCTACAACTGTAGCTTTTACTCTGTTAAATTCAAACCCGGGACAAAAAGTACACAGTCAGCCTGATTTACTGGATCGATAACTGGCACGAAACGAAGCGTAACCTTCGATAAATTTGCCATTGGCGGCCCTGTGTCGTATATCCCGGCTTCTGAACTTGAAGTTATCATAATTATAAAACAACATAATGTCTCCGCATTGCTAGCTAGTGTCCGGTCTGTGTTGTGCAGCAAGTGAGTTAATATACAGCCAACACAGGCAATCTGGTCACTCGGTCGTCTCACGCTGTGTTTTGTTGGTTTTAGCCTTCAGGACATCAAGCTCGACGCGTTGTTATCGCACCTGAATTAAACAATACAACATACAGACTACTGTAACGGCAATAACATTTACCTTTTTTATCAAATACGACCGTCCGGTGGATATAATTATTATCAAGACGTCACCACCTGGTCGTTCCTTAAGAGCTGTTGCTGTGGCGACGGCAAACAAAGGCCCCTGGCTCTCATTGAAAAGATTTATTTACCAGAATTTCTTTTGATTGAGCTGAGATGGCATTGTTTGAAATGCAAATGAAAATCCTTAGTTGTAGTTGTTTACTTTTGTAACACTTAACCAGCCTAGTTTCTTCAAGCTCGGACATATTCAAGACAAAAAAAGTTGTTCTTTTTGGGCTTTGGCACCTAATAAAGCTCTCATGAGACAAGTTTATCAAAAAGCGGAAGGGGGTGGTTAAAATTTTCACTGTTTTGTCGTCGAACAAATACGAGATGTGAGCACGGAATCTGATTTTTACAATGCAAATGTCAAGTCAGTATGGTAATTGGAGGTAGTAAGAAAAAACCGTCGTTCCCCAAAATTTTGCTGTTGTTCCAGATTATCGAGATTACAGAGGCTCAAAAGGTACATCAGGATCCCATTTCGATCTTTTTGCGATTTAACTATGGTAGGGCCGTTTTTCAAGACTTTTCAACAAGACTTTTCAACAGACAATACTTAGCACGTAGACTGCAAAAACGGATGTCATGTCGCTTTAGTTTCGTATTGACTTTTTCATTTTGCACTTACTCTCCTCCTGACCAAGGTAATAAAAAAATTAATTAAACGAGCTCCTATGGCGGGATTAACAATCTTGTAAAGTAGAGAATTGAGCGAGACCGACTGGCTGAGCTGCTTGATTTTTCCTGTGCCTTTCTCACTCACGTGCCACACAAGTGAGACTCTCCTCTCTCCTTTTCCTCTCTTGGGAAAAGCGCATTCAGCTTGTTCTTTCACTTAATGCACCACTGATTTTTTTTCCTTCAGATTCTATTGCATTTTAAGTTTAATTACAACTTTCTCGAGGCTTTTCATTGTTGCTTTATGAATCTTTGCGTAGGGAGAAGAAAATTACGCAGTTTTTCTTATGGCGGTGATAATTGTAAGCAGGTGATGGACACATTTAAAGAGACGCAATTTTCTTTTTACCTTTTGAATGAAAATCAAAACTCGTTAATTAACGTCGATATTAGTTCTGTTCATTCACGCTTTTGCTTTAAAACAATTCACCTTAACGATCTTTGTACTCTTCGATTATTAACGTAACGATCTGATGGCAGATCACGGCAACGAAGTAAATTATTTAAAAATGATTTGTGAAATAGTCTTATATGTGAAATGTAAATGAAACATAAGAGAGATGCTTATGACCCCTGCAGCCATAGTCTTACGTAGTAGAAAGTAATAAGACTTGAAACACTAAATTCAAGCCAACTGATCCGACATGGCCAACACAGGTATTCGAACCCAGTCGCAGATCCTTAGCCGCATGAGAAACAGATGTTGCGGACGCAGATATTGCTTTCCCCCAGCGAGAAAACCCTATTTAATCAAGTTTAAAACGTTCTTCCTTCCGCAGCACATGTTTCCTAATTTAGCCACATCCTTAAGGGCGCATTTACACTGAACAAGTGTCAAAGACTCAGGTATTTCTTCGCCGAAAACACGAACCGCATAAGGCCGCCTCCACATTACGGTATCCGGTGAAAACAATTACCGAAAACGCATCTTTTCATGAAAACTCCGTTTTGCTGTACTCTCGATTAAGTCGCGGTGTTAGATACTAGTAAATGCGCATGATCCCATATGGTACCATTTTCAGTCACCATCACCCTCGTTCCCAGCGTCTTCGTTCCCCTTGACCAGCGGTATCGTCAAGCCAGTATGCGCAGTAAGGGACGAAGACTCGAGGTACGAGATTGAGTCACCATTGTTTCGTATGGACGGGCAGAAACAATTTAAAAACTGACGCAAAGTGTAGACGCAGAGTTTTATGAAAACGGAGAAAAAAAATCTTTGTTTTCAAACAAAAATGGATAGGTGGGTGGCGCCTTAGTTTATACTACTGTCTTTGACTGTCCTAAACACACTTGAAGTCTGTTTTTTTATATACTTGGAAATATTTCACCAAAATCTGTTTTCAGAATTTTTAGTCTGATGGTCTCTTAGTGCGTGAAACTCCGAGTTACAACTCTATTAACTTCCATCCTTTGTATTTGTATTTGTATATTTCAAATTATATTGTTTCGGGCTTTGACATGACTGATTTAATAAGAGCTGTGATCCTCTGCAAGGGATTTGATGAGCCAGAGAAGCGTCTTTGTAGGATTTGGAGGCATGGGTTACCAACGTCATAAACCTATCTGGAGCGTTGGGAGAATGGAGAACCTTTCCATGTTCATTACACACTCAGGTTTTCGTTTATAACCAAAAGAAAGATCGGTTATTACTAAACTACAGTTCTCCGTGCATACTGATTGATGGAGAACACTAAATATTACCACGCATTTTTAAGTAGCCAGTCTATACTGACTCTATACTTGTTTGACGTACACTCTACCGGAATTATGATTCACCAAAGTTAACCAGCAATTCAGGCAATAATGAGGATTGTAAAACTGTGAAATGAGGATTGCCTTTGAACGTATTTTCTCATAGTCTTGGCAGTTTTTGTCTGTTGTTCCATACTTCAGAACCAACCTTGTTCCTCTGGTATTTTCCCCAGACACACCCATAAATACTGATTCGAATCCTGATTGCATAATCACCCAGTCTCTCAGACCAGACGGAGCATGCAATCTTATGCTCCTATTCAGTTGCTTTTACTATTTAACAATCACTGGTGTTGTGAAATTCCTCGAAGGACCACTTGTAATTCGAATAAGTAAGGGTGAAAAACCGCCCAGATATTTAGCCACAATTCGTGACAGCCTTATTCTGAAAGCATTCATTTCATTACTGTATTTCATGTCGCCCAAAGGCAGACCTCTTAACAGATGGACAAAATCTGCTTAATCTTTTTGCAGATACTTGTCGGATTTTTATGCAAATAAGAGACGGAAATGCACAAAACGTTTTGAACGTTGTTAGTACGTATATCGAATATTGACGATTACAGCGATGGAAGGATATTGTATCATCACCAACCGGCTAAATTCAGTACTGCTGTCTTCGGGTTCTTGTATAGCAGACAATCCGGCATGTTAATCTTTTAAGGATAAAAATTTGCCAAGTGCAACTTGGGATAACCTTAGGGTGATCTGTCTAATTCGTTAGCGTTTCCATAGCTACAAAACGTTACTTTTAGGGATAAAATTACTCTGACTGATTTTAAGGCCAATCAACGGTCACTCTTATTCAAAATCATAATTTAACATTTTTGATAGTAGAGTTAATTTCTTAAAATGAGAGAACAAATCAATCCGCAATTCGAGAGGTAAAACAGACAATATGATTCTTTCACCAGAATTCACTTGGAGAATTCGTTAGTTATTATTTAAGAGAACCCTTCTACTTTTCCCGAACAGCTAATAAAAGAGAAAAAAATGAATTTTTACGTGGAGATGTTATTGAAGACTGAAGAGTCGTAAATGTTTCTTCTCCGCAGTGGTGCGTACTGGGCACGATCTTGAAACATCGAATTCGATTCAGTTTTGTGTTTTTAAAACCGACGATTGAACACCGGCGGATTAGCATTTATCACTTACTGCATCGGTGTGTACTTACCCGCTACTTACTGTCGGTGTGATATTTTGACCAGCCAACAAACAGTGCCAATGTTTTATTGGCGTCGAGTATTAACAAGCAGTACTCGGGAATATTTACCGTCTTGGAGGCGGTTTGTAATTAGAAACTGCAATGAAAAATGTGTGCTTGGTAAGGATTATGTGTTTCGGCAGCGACGCAACCGTCCATGTAATTAAAGGATCTGAATGTTAATTGTTTTCGAAGTTGCAGGTGCAGTTCATCTTCTCTCAGAAAGACTGAGTGGGGATGGACTGGGAGACTGGTGTATGCAGTGAACATTGGCGAGAACAATATACGAGGCTTATTGAGCTGTTGATTGGATAGGACTAAAAACACACTGACTACAGTTAAGTTAGTTCAAAGGCCATTTATCATATTTTTTTCATAATACTGCACAACGGCAATACTTAGTAATTACTATAATAGGCAGGAGAGAGACCCAAGAATGAACTACAAATGCAACGGCTGAACCGAGAGCGGAAGTACAATTTAGCTTGGTTGAAAGTAAATTCGTTCACTTTTTTGCTATTAATATTAAGGCGCACATACTGAAAACTGAATTTAGCTTAGCGCCTATCATTATTTTTTTTCTCAATAGTACTACCTGCGTAACAGTAATGGTAATTAGGCACGCAGGCAGACTGTGTTTATTGATAACCCTGACAAGTAAAGAGGATACTGGCTAAACAGAACTGAATTATCACCACTATTACTACGGCATATGGTGATGACCAGAAACCGCAGATAAAAACTGAGTTCATGTTACTGGTGACCCAAATTCGGATCGTACTTGGAATACACCGGCTGAATAGAGGTTGATTTAAAAACCGGGGGGGTACTCCTCATATGAACCATATAGGTATCTGCCGCAGCCCCAAAATGTAGGGTTTTTGCGCTATTTTCGTCTGAAAACGGT